GAAGAAAGTGCCATTAATCACTTGCAATAGGTAGGAAAATTCGACACTATTTAATGCGAGCACTATTTAGCAAAGTCGCGTAACTTTATTTCACGTGAAGCAACGGGCCGTAAGCAAAAGGTCCATGGGCTGCATGTTTGGGACCCATGCTTGATTGTGACGGGAGTTGCTGTGTTACGCGTGGCGTTTCTTCACTGCCTGCGCAGTTTGTCTGCGGTAGTATATGCGTTGACGTAATCCCTCTTCATTTCACCGATTGCTTTGGCTATCGACGGCACTTTAGACTCGGACACTCCACCTAAGGCTTAGGTAGAGCAGGCTCCGCAATGTTGCAGCTGAAATCGAGACTTTGCATCTACTAGCCGAATGTTCAGTTCAGCTCAGTCTATCATTATTCATTCAAATACAAAGATTTATGATTTGTAGTATGCAATAGTCATAATATATCTCACTCTTTTCGCCCGTCATGATCAATGACAGTTATAACGAGCATTTGCTTGCTTAGCTCATCATGAAGTTTCCAATTGTTCTCTTTTATTACGCGCTTTTTGTGGGTTCTACTAATGCCGCGTGTATGACGAGTTTACCGAAGAATCGCAATATTACAACATTCGATATCTTTCAATGATGGCCTTTTACTTTATTCTATTGGTCTTTCATTCTCGCTATGCTTCTCAGTGATGACTACCATAGGACAATGCGTGGGTGTGTTACTCTCCTGACATTTTACATATTATTTAAAGTGGTTTGAGAAGTGCTCTTTTCGATACCACTTAACGAACTGCTTATTCATACATGTTACTTATTATCAATGCGAAGACATCGAATAGGCACAGCTCTAAATGTCACGTGTATAGAAAGGTACCTCAGGCACGGGTGCAGAAATGACGCAGAAGGAATGAAGACGACGATGTTGTTGTGGGGCTGTGTCTGAACTGCCCTCTTGTCCTGCATTCTTGCATACTGTGTCCAGTGTTAGCCACCCGGCGTTCACTTATTAAATACTCCCCGTTACATATTTTTGGTGGATGCGCGGGGTAATATTCCGACTCTGGATCTGCGTAGCGGACGTCAGCTTCGTCCAGCCACGATGCCTGAAGGCAGTGCGCCATCCGTTAAGTCTACGCCTGCTCCGTCACCTCTGATCCCTTCCGATCTTCTCGATCCAGGTACATTTTGCGGCACCGACACAACTGACGTTGACGAGTGACTCGTCTTATACGAGCGCGTCAGCAAGCAATACAGGTGGGATGAGACGCTTATGCTGGCCAACATCATATTTTACCGGCGAAGTACTGCACGCGCCTGGTACGAGACGCACGAGGAAGACCTGACGAGTTGGGACGTGTGCAAGCAGCGTGACTTGTTCGGCTGGTCAGTTGCTCGACAAATGGCAGCCAGGCAGGAACTCGCGTCACTAGTTCAATCTTCCACCGAGTCGTACGTCACCTATATCCAAGATGTGCTCGCCTCTTGTCGGAAGGCCGACAAAGACATGACCGAACTAAACAAGGTCGGCAATGCGTTGAAAGGCATAGCCAACGATGCCTTCAACATTCTGATATCCAAGAACTGTACCACCTTTGACTCAATTGTCAGTGAATGTCGGCGGTTCGAACTAGCCAAAAGCAGGAGAATCACTCACCGTTTTTCCTGACTCCCGAACACCACTGTGACATCTCCCTGCGAGGATCCTGTGGCACCACGTCTATTCGTGAATCCTCCAAACATCACAAGAATTGTTCGCCAGGAGCTGGAAGCCATGGCTCCTTCGACTTATGAACCCCCTGTCCCTGACAACTCAGTCCCAATATCTCTTATTCAGACTGTTGTGCGACAAGATTTTGCCAAAATGGGCGTCTTAGTTCCCCAAAACTCAGCCACACACCACAGCCCATAAATCTTAACGCTCACTACCACGCCGCCACACTTGTTGCTGATTGCCGCGTCGGTCCCGCTGTTCTCATCACACTACCGAAATCCATCTGAGTGGCGCACACAAGATGATCGACCGATACGCTTCTCTTACCATCGCGTGGCCACATTTCCCGCCACTGCCGCAACAGATAGCCTTTCCGGCAACGTTTTCTAGACGACCACCGACAGGATCGTGGCAGTATTCGCCACCTCTTTTTACCGATGACCACCTTCAGGACGTTTCACCTACTTATTCTACGCAACGCTCCGAACCATCCTACGCCAATGTCGGCGCCCAGGGAGCCCGATCCAGCCGCTCTCCGTCGCCTCAGTGTCACCAGCCCCGCTCCTATCAACGCCGTCGCTCCCCGTCACCGGCGTAATAGCTGGGCAGTTCTCGGGAAACTAACAGATGAAGCTCCTGGAGGTGGCCGCTGCATTGAAAACTCGGACCGAAAAACCTCTAGCGACCACTAATTTCAGACGAAATTACTTGGTGATGTTTATCGATGGCCTGACCGTTACAGCTACAATAGAAACTGGTGCCCACATATTCGTTATGAGTTCATGTCTACGGTCCCACCTGAAAAAAGTTCTTACCCCTGCCATGTCTTCGACTGTGCGAGTAGCCGACGGCAGCCGAACATCAGTTCTTGGTATGTGCACTGTCCGCGTCACTGTTGCCGGCCTTCACACTCCAGTCCTCTTCGCTGTTCTAGACGCTTGCCCACACGACGTGATTCTCGGCATTGAATTCTTGACCGCGCATTCAGCCCTCATTGATTGTTCAACCGGCACTTTAGAGCTAGAGTTGCCTTTGTACTCTGATGTCCCTCCTGCAGCTCGCACACGGCTACGGTCCGTGCAGTGTCTGCGATTACCGTCTAAGGCCGCGGTATACCTTTCTATGTCACCGTTCCCACCTGTTCTTGATGACGACTACTTGAGAGTTCCACTCATTGACTTGACCCTTTCCCGCAACATCATACTTTTTCATAGTATAGTGAGGCTTAGCGACATCAAGACGCTTCTTCCTGTCCTCAACTTCTCCATGTCGACCCAGGTCGTTCCTTAAGGTATTGCCTTAGCATAACTCTTCACTCTGGAGCAATGTACAATTTCATCTCTTACTCCTGACATCAAGACCGTAGCCGAACCTGTCGTAGCCGCACAGAATAGAGCTTTCTAGACAAAATGATATCAAAGGACCTGTCGCCGTCCCAAGTTGAAGCGCTCCATGGTCTTCTATTTTCTTAGCTCGACATTTTGATATCGACGACCATTCTTGGGCCGCACGAACGTCGTAACCTACCGTATCGACACTGGCGACGCCAGTCCCATTCATAAGCGTCCTTACCGTGTGTCTCATTCAGAGGGCCAAATAATCCAGAATGAGGTAGAGAAAATGCTCGACAAAGACGTCATAGAGCCTTCAACCCGTCCTTGGGCATCACCTGTAGTGCTTGTTAAAAGCAAGGACAACACCTGGCGGTTCTGCGTCGACTATCGCAATCTCAATCGAATAACCAAGAAGGATGTCCATCCTCTACCTCGAATTGATGATGCGCTTGACTGCCTTCATGGTGCCAAGTATTTCTCTTCCCTGCACCTATGATCTGGATATTAGGCAAATTTCAGCCGATGACCGCGACCGCAAGAAGACGGCATTCATAACACTCGACGGGCTTTATCAATTTAAAGTCATGCCTTTTGGGTTGTGCGATGCACCAGAAACTTTTGAACGCATGATGGACTCCCTCCTTCGCGGTTTTAAATGGTCGGTGTGCCTGTGCTATCTAGACGATGTCATCGTTTTCTCGCCAACCTTCTAGAGCCATCTTCCACGTCTGTCGGCCATCCTTGACGTTTTTCGCTGTGCTGGCCTCCAGCTTGACGCGTCTAAGTGCACCTTTGGGCACCATCAGATAGAGCTACTTGGCCACCTTGTTGACGCTGCTTGTGTACGACCCGACCCTGATAAAGTCCGCGCGGTGCGCGAGTTTCCAGTCCCACGTTTCACGCAAGAAGTCCGAAGCTTTTTGGTACTCTGTTCGTATTTCCACCGTTTTGTCAACAACTTCGCGGAAATTGCTCGGGCCCTCACGGATCTCCTTAAAAAGAACGTGGCTTTTTTCTGGTGTGAAGACCAAGAACATTCCTTTGCACTATGAATTCTGCCCTCACATCACCACCTGTGTTGGCTCATTTTGACCCAGCCACTCGAACGGAGCTACGCACTGACGTAAGTGGCCAATGGCATAGGGGCAATACTCGCACAAATGCAGAACGGCACAAAGCGTGCCATATCGCACGCAAGCCGCCTACTTTCTCAGTCGGAAAGGAACTATTTAAATATTGAGCGAGAGTGCCTGGCTCTCATCTGGGCTATCGCAAAATTTCGTCCGCACCTATAAGGACGCACGTTCGCAGTCATCACAGACAACCATTCGCTCTGCTGGCTCTCAACCCTTAAGGATCCCACAGGAAGACTTGGGCGATAGGCATTGCAATTGCAAGAGTACACGTTCTCTGTAGTGTACAAGTCTGGCAAGCTTCACAGCGATGCCGACTGCTTATCTCGACACCCTGTTGATCCACCTGACTCCTCTGAGTTAGAAGCTGATGCCAACATCCTTGCCATAACAGATTTTCTGCAAATAGCCGACGAACAACGCTGAGATCCATCGCTCCTGTCGATGATAGACCATCTTCAATCCGGCCATAAAGACCCTTCAATGAGCCTATTTTTTCTTCAAGATAACATTTTGTACCGCCGCAACTTACAGCCCGATGGCGCGGAACTTTTGCTAGTCGTCCCACGTCATCAGTGCAAGGTCATTTTGCAAGAACTTCACAACACCCCAACTGCCGGACATTTATGTGTCTCCAGAACCTATGATCGCGTCCGCCGACAGGTATTCTGAAAGGGCCTTTATTGTTCCGTTCGCCGCTACGTTGCAGAGTGTGACCTGTGCCAGCGTCGGAAGAAGCCTACGTCCCTCCCTGCCGGTCACATTCAACCTATTGAAGTCCCAGCCGAGCCATTTCATTGTGTGGGTTTGAATTTGTTAGGTCCCTTACCAAATCGGCAATGGGAAACAAATGGATAGCAGTAGCTACGGATTTACCACTCGACATACAATTACTCGAGCGCTACCGACCAGCTGCGCAACGGACGTCGCAGATTTCCTACTCTATGACATCATCCTTTAGCATTTCGCTCCTTCTCACCTACTCAAGAACCGTGGCCGCCGCTTCCTGTCTTGTGTGGTTGACGACCTGCTTAGATCCTGTGCTACGCGGCACAATTTTACGACTTCTTACCATTCTCAGACCAACAAACTTACTGAGCGCCTCAACCGCACACTGACAGACATGCTTGCTATGTATGTTTCTGACGACCACACCGATTGTGACACTGCCCTTCCGTTCGTAATCTTGATTGATTTATATGTGGGGTTTAACGTCCCAAAACCACCATATGATTATGAGAGACGCAGTGGTGGATAGCTCCGGAAATTTCGACCACCTGGGGTTCTAAAACGTGCACCCAAATCTAAGCACACGGGCCTACAACGTTTCTGCCTCCCTCGGAAATGCAGCCGCCACAGCCGGCATTCGATCCCGCGACCTGTGGGTCAGCAGCCGAGTAGCTTAGCCACTATATAACGCGACGGGGCCAGTTCGTAACCTTCGCCTACAACTCGTCCCGTCATGAAACTGCCGGCTACTCACCATTTTATCTTCTCTTTGGCCATGATCCCTTACTACCTTTCGATACCCTGCTTACGCATGGCCTTCCGTCCACCACTTTGTACGCACAAGATGCCATCTCCCGTGCTCTGATCGCACGTACAATAGCCCGCGCCAGATTCTCATCGTCGCAGAGAGCACAAAAGTCGCTCTACGACACCCGACATAGGTATGTCGATTTCTCTCCGGGCTCTCTCGTGCTACTGCGGCTGCCATCCCGTCGTGTCAGCCTGTGCGAGAAACTTATCGCAATACGTTGAGCCTTACCGAGTTTTGTGCCAAGTCACACCTGTCACCTATGAGATTTATCCTACTACGAACTCCACTGTTTCATCCAGAAGTCACATTGTGCATATGTCTCGCCGGAAGCCCTATCACAGTGACCCGTCTGTCGAATAACAGCACGCACCGGGACGGTGCTTTGCCGCCCGGGGTAATGTGACGGGTATAGAAAGGTACCTCAGGCACGGGTGCAGAAATGACGTAGAAGGAATGAAGACGACGATGTTGTTGTGGGGCTGTGTCTGAACTACGCTCTTGTCCTGCATCTTTGCATACTGTGTGCAGTGTTAGCCACCCGGCGTTCACTTATTAAATACTCCCCGTTACAATATTCTTGCTGGAGCCCTTTACTAAATGTAGGAATACGCCAGTGCTATACTCAGTGGGAAGTCACACGTAGCCAGCCAGATTTCATTCATTTTGTATCTTCCATTTCTCTATTTCTTTCCACATTGACAGGGTGGTGTCGACATGCCTCCTGCTGTACCTCCTTCAGAACATCTCAGGCGCCCAAATGTGTCTGCTGCGTGCTGTTCAAGTGATGAGCAACGTGGTGGTAGAAGTACCACCACAGTTCCTGGCCGTTGTGCTGGTTTTCTCGCACCTCGCATGCACCACCCTGGCCACAGCCTTAACGCCCCTCACAAATCGTCGCACGCAGCTCGGAATCTCAGCCTTCCTGGTTGCAGTCACTCTCTTCATTTTTCGACCGCTGGACCACCTAACATTCACGTGAGTCCCACTTTCTTAATGTGCAAGAGCTTACCGAGTGCATGACAGCAATGCTGTCTTACCATTCTGTAGCACGGGGTTCGTGTAAAAAAGGAAACAGAAAAGCAAGAGCACAAATGATTTTCTGTCTCTCTTTTTTATGTTTGCTTCCTTTCCCGAAATTCGCGCTACCACAATACGTTTAGTAAACACGTCCAAGAAGAAGTTATCCTGTTGCTGTCTTAGTCTACGGCGTCCCATCGTTCACGTAGTCGTAGTCATAGTACTAGTACTGGTAGTAGTAGTAGTAGTAGTACATCACGCATATTGCGTGACAAGGGCTCGCGGTGAATGAAGAAATAAAATAAATAAAAATAAATCAATTTCCCTGGCAAGGCAGGGTTTGAACCCAAGCCCTCACGGTCTGAAAGCAAGTGTCATTACCATTGGTCTACTCACTGACACTTACCGAGTCATGTGCAAGCGGATACATACGAAATTTAGCGGAGAATTTCCGAAACCACATGATCTCGCCAGCCAAATACACACTCTTCCCTATTTACAGAATGGCTGTCCGACTATAGGCACAACGGGGTATTTGTGCTGATCCATGGAATTAACTATGACAAGAAGTTTAATTTTGATGCAGTCGCAAGAAAGCATGATTGACTCTTACGAGGAATGTTTCGTCGTAGAAATCGGTGGCCAAAATAGCAGAACATGTCTGCACGTCTGACGTATTTTTCAAAAACAACAACAAAAACAAAACAAAACAAAATCAGTCACACAGGCATCAGTCAAGGGAGGTGGTACATTCACCGCCGTGCCAACAACAGAAGCTGCGCAAGCCACTTCGCTAAATTGCGGTGCTAGATCTGCTAGATCCTGGTGGCGCTGTGCTCTGCTAGATCCCTATGGTAGAACTCTGCTAGATGACGGTGGTGCTCCGGGCACAATAGTAGAGCGTGGTGCCCCGGAAGAAACCCATGGTGCTCACATTGCCACAATGCTCTGTCGTGTTCTCAAGGAGCTAATGTGATGTACAATAAATATAAATGATAATGGGGTTTTCTGAGCATGCAGCGGAGTGCTTGAGCTTTCCGGAGATTCATTTTTAGTAGTCTTACCACATGTGAATTTGTAATGCGGTCATCTACAAACGCACTATGAACGATGCTACTACTTTCGTGTTTGCGAATTCTATTAACGCGACAAAAGCCTTCTAAATTTCTGATAATAAACATAAGTTGATTCATTTATTTGCACTTCGCGCGCCAGCACCCTACAACAGGAAATCAAGAGTACTTGTTCCCATAAAATTTGTACACAGTATACAGACGTCTCTATCATATGCAAGTACACGTTCAAACATAAAACGCAAACGTACCAATGTACAATAGGCATACATTTAAGTCTTGTTAAAAACAAAGGTATGGGCACATGTTCCCTAATTTTTAACGCAGTTTAATATAACAAAGAATATTATCGGATATCTGCAGACTAACAAAAGTAGCTAAATATTCATCGTAGCATGCCACTGTATAGTATCATTTTGTGAAAGCTCGTACGTGGCATGTGGGATGGTGGTTTCGCTATTCATGAAGGCTGACAGAAACTGTGCCCACTTTTTAACTCGCACAGCCACTGGTCCGTGACTGAACAGTCTGGCAAGACGAGCTGGGGGGCCGCGTTCTCCATCGGAATGCTCGTCGTGGCCTACTCGGTGGGCGTGTGCCACCTGCCGACGCTGCTGACCGGCGAGCTCATGCCTTCGAGGATACGTTTGCTGGGTTCGTCCATCGTGTGGTCGTCGCGCTGGCTCTTGGCCTTCCTGGTGCTGTACTTCGACGTCGACGTGCTCACCGCATTCCAGCAGAAGGGACCGTTGCTGGCGCTAAGCCTTACAGTGGCAGTTGTCGCCGCGACAGCCATATACCTTATCCCCGAAACTGAAGGTCGTTCGCTAGGCCAGATTGAACACGACTAACCAGCGAGCCCCGTATTTCTGATTTAATAGCTAAACAACTGCAATCATAGTGTATTGTATTTACATAAATAATAGCTACTGCACGTTTATTAACGCTGTATGATCAAAAGATATTGCATCAATTTCAGACCGAATAGTGGCGCATCGAAACGTAAACATTGATAATATAGTTTTTTATATGATATCACGGCTCGCATTCGCGTTGTGTACGTTGGCTATCGACATATATGGCGTTCTCTTTAGACATACCTATTGTTTGCTTACTTTATAAAATCTGTGCTGATCCTATAAAACTTTGGCGTGGCGTAATTTGTTCCTCATTTTTATTTACCATTTTTTAGGGATATTAAAGCATATCAATGAATCAATGCCACTGCAGTGTTTGAACTTTTGATTTCCGCAGTTCTCCTCGGTGGAACAGGAACAGTGGCTACGGCTGCTGACCCTAAGGTAACGGATGTGAGCCAGGCTGCTGTGGTCACATTTTGATTAAGGTGAATTGGTAGAGGCCCGGTATTGTTGGATGCCAGTGCACGTTAACGGGGCACTCAAGTCAAATAATAATTAACGTCAGAGTGAAAGCTCCATGTAAGACAAAATTCAAAACGACAATTTTATCAACAAAAGTGCCTTACTTACCGAGAAATTAAGGTAAATGCACAAGAACACAAGTGCCGCAGTAGAGCATTCTCAAAATGATTCCGAAGACATCAGACGGACCGCCTACAAATTATCAGTAGTAATCGATTTATCTGCACTAAACAAAGAACCTTCCGTGCATCAAGAGACGCTATTTTTCGTTTCATTCATTGAAAAAAGAACTGCCGGACGTTACTAAGGGGAATGGCGCTAATGGTTTAAAAATTCAGTTTTCGTGTAGTGACATTGGACAGGTGCTGTCATCTAGCGAGACGCAGCTAAAAAAACAAAACAAAAAAAAACGTCCGCTAAGGCCTCCGAGATAGCGGGCGCGCGCCCACCATCTCGAAGGTTAAGATTGTTGCTGTTGTGCCTCCCGCTGCTCTCGGTTTGTTACTAATAGCACAATGAAGCCGGGCAAAATTGTTCCTGGCAACAGTGACGTGAGTCGGTCCGGTCAGTCCGCTTCTTTAGGTGGGTACTTTGAAGTGCGCTAACCCGATGCGAACCACTAAAACGTGATTTTCTTTCCAAATAGGCCTTTGCTTGGCACAAAAGTAACACTACGAGCATTCCGGACCGCTATTTCAACAATCAACGTTGGCCTAATACTTGCCGTTATTGTCCCTTTAAAGAGCACCAGATGGTCATAATTTCCACAGCCGCCCATTTCAGTGTCTATATTTTGGTTTTGGGACGCAAGACCACATATTACAATTTCCAAAATATCAGCCTTCTGACACCTCCATATTGGTTGCGCAATAAAGACTCGTGTAAAAAATGAAGCTGTTCGGCTGCTTCATTAAGGATTATACAGGCTGACTCCGAAATATTTTGGCATAGTATCCTGTGGTTAATAAATGACGACAAACTGAAATGGCGGTTTTCTAGGGCTTCTAAAACGACCATGCGGCGCTGGTTCTGGCCATATACACCAATGTATGACGTCATCTCAAGACAACTGAAATTGTAGTCAACCTAACCTTTCTTCTGCTCCAACACTACATCTTTAAAGGAAAGCTAGAAAAGCAAAAAAAATCCTAAGAATAAAGCTTTATTGAAGCAATCTACTAATTTTTGTAACAAATTAAATTAAGCTATTGAAATAAATGTTTAAATATTTTTGTTTTCATTATTTCTCTCCTCCTCACTCAGTCACGCTTCAATCGTCACGTGGTTCTTGATGTCTGTCGTGATAGGTTTCGGACCAGTTTTCGTTCCAACTTTCACGAACTACTTGAATTGACCTTGCCTTGACTAATATTTTCTCGAAGATGGCTGGAAAGATTGTGAGACTACGATGGCTAGACTACGATCCCCTTACGTCCTCCCGGCAGAGTCTTCCCGTGTGTATACTCGCAGGTCATTCGATGGAATCTCTCGAAGATGACGTCCATGATAAGTGGCAATCAATTAAACATCATTTCACGCTGAGCGTCCGGCACTGAAGTAAAGCTTTCCTTAGTACACTTGCTATCCTGGCAAGGCCAGCATTCGTCATAGATATTGCAAATACGTAGAAAGTGCACAATGCTCCCTTCTTGAAACACAATTCAGCGCATAGTAACGTACATACATCTGTTTCCGCTGTCTCTAGTTCGTATCATGTCAGCTTAATTTTAACTGGCGCACTTCTATTAGTACCAGAATTACCTTTAGCGGCCAGACTCGTGCTGACATTCCGCGGCTATTTCCAGAAGTGGCGCATGCCAGTCGTTCTTGTAAAACTTCTTATGTCGCGTTCCAATTTCTGGGCACTTTGCATGCATAGGCATGTACCATCATAGTCCGGTAATTTCTCCCATAACCATAACAGAATTGACAGTGAAAGTTGAATTAAGTAAATGAACACATAATGAGATTTTTTAGTCAAATGATGCGTATGTGGTTGCTCTCGCATTAACACTGACAATCACTACGATAGAAATGGCGTAACTTTTCCTCATTGCTTTTCCCGGCGAGTATTAGGATTGCTTCATAAGCATCCATTATTCTTACTGCTTGATGTCACGTTGCAAAGCACGGCAGTGTGGTGGGATACATAATTTTATTGAAAATTATTTCCTCTACGATTTCTTGACATCCGTAAGTACGAAAATGAGCTACGACAAACTAATTCAACAAATATTGTACATTCTCACGCAGAGTGACTAAGCTAAACTGGCCCTGAGTTCTCCGGCAAGTTGCCCATGGTACATACAAGAATGAAAGTAAATGCCCAGTTCATTTTCACAAACTAACTTTCTTATATTCTGTCCGAGCAGTGATTAAGCCAAAAGCCAGTTCCTTAACTAATTCCTAAATACTTCTTGTATGACCCATTTCTCTCAGCTGCAGCCAGCTGAGGCCCTGTCACAACAAAGCTGTTGCCCAGTTAAATCGTTAAACAAGGCTTGTACGCTTGAAGCGATGTTTCGACTAGCGAACTTGTCTTCTTCAAGGCTAGAACATAACTTCTGTTCCAAGCTTCAGGAAGGCAAGTCCGCTTGTAAAAAGGCCGACTCGAGCACATATTCCTTGTTTACGGATTTTACAGCGAAAGCTGGTATGAGATCACAACGACAGTGGCAGTGCGTTAGTGGTCCGCCTCTGGCATCCGTAACCGAATCACCTGAAATTCGAAAAAAAATTGCCTTTAGGAAAACAATTTTACGAGCGTCAGTCACTTTTACTGATTATTGTCATCAATCAAGCATGAATATTTGTAAAAGCTGTGATTCCACAAAAGCTACATAGTTCTTCAATATCAATGAACGGAATCAACCTGATTAAAAGATATAACTGATGGTGGCTGTTATTATTTGCTGCTATCCACCGTATATCGACCTAGCCATTGGTAAGGAGCGCCTCCCGGCTGACGGCTATGACTCTTCCGATAGTGATAATACCATGGGCCCTCATGATATTCCAGTGAAAGCTGTATTGAGATCACCACAGGGGCCCATTTAGAAGTCGCTATACGCCGCCGTCATTTCTAAAGTCTTCGCATCCACTGCACTATTGCGAGAAATATAAATGTGTAATAATAAGACTGTAGGAATGAATTGAATTCCAACCCGGGACCTCTGCGAGGCCGGTGAATATTCAAGTCACGCTGGTTCTTGAAACTCCTTCATGAGAACGCCAGGTGTCATGTCGGGCAAGGAGCCTTGTTAACGTATATTGACTTCATATAGCATCGTATAAGAGTAAAATTCAACCTGGTGTCACACAACGCGATATGCGCGACGAGTGAATCATTCAATCTACCCATTGTAAAAGACTCAGCCATAATTATTCACCGTCATCAGCCAGAGCACGGGCACAGTGAGCATAATGCCTTACATTAGCGGGTGTCTCTCGTATTCGCAGAATAACGAACAATGGCTTATTAGGTGCTTGCATACTTCTTGAATGTTACGGCGGTTCATGTCGCAGTGGGTACCTTACATGTATATTTTTATTAGTTCACCCAAGATAGTCTACAACGAGGCCTAGAAAAGACGTTTTTCCAGCTTTTGCTGTGATTGTACTGCGTGTTCTGCGCAGGCCTGGCATTTATTTTTCATTGGAAGCTTCTACCATCTTCGTCCTGCCATTTGTTGCGTTTTTAGTAGTTCGCCAGCCGTGTCTCCATCACCATTAAGCTTTCCACCTGTTGCTTTCTGCAGACGATGCACCAGAACGCTCAGCCAAAGGTAAGGAAGCTATTTTCATCTCACTTCTGAATTCAACTGCGAAAAAAAAACTAACATCGATGCACAGTTTAAATTCATTGATAAGGAAGTATTCAGATTCGGACAGACCTCGGGACCTTCAAATATCTAACCTCAGCATTACATTATGTTTCCGCGTTGCGTAGCCCACCTGACAATCTACTGCTGTGTCACGTAGTCCTCAAGGTGCAGATGCAGTTGTGCCACTCGAATGCTTATATGAACGTTGAAACCAGCATGTGTGGCAACTTGATCACAGCTACGACGATCAATAAGTGGTGCAAAACGTTGCCTTCGCTTCTTATTTGCAATAAAATCCAGCAGAATCCTATTTACACTTTGCTTGAGCTTCTGCACTAGCCGGTCGAGCGTATACTGATACATCCGGTGTCCTCTTCGCTTAAGCTCCTCCACTACCAAAATGTCAATTGAAGAAGTCAGCATTGCAGCTACTGAATGAACGATGCTTCTATTGGGCAGGATTGAGATCTCCAGCGCTCTATTTGATGCTGTAGAGGGTCTCAAATATCAGCCCCACCATCAAAGCTGCATGGCGACATTGTGAACCTAAAACAAATACGATAAATTGGAGAGCCCGTTTTATCTAGCTCTTCTCTCTTGAATGAAAAAAGTGTTGGTGTCACCAGACGCTGCTTTCAATTGAAA